GGTGTAAGCACTAAAAAAATGCCTCACTGCTCAATGACCCTGCGTGTAGAGCATAAGTCAAAATTTACAGCGATCCACGGGCAAGTGGTGGCATCTCTATATGAGTGTAAAATTCTCGACATGACGTTCAACAAACAACAAACAAACAAATCTATTGTCTGCTTATGATACATGTATGTATACATCTACATGTAATCTCTTCTTAGCTCCTTCTTGTCTCTGGTTGTTCTTCCTAGTCACCGGGTGATTTTATCTTATTTATTCATTTATGAAGGCCCTCTGTGGATTTCAGGCATTAATTCAATCTTCACGAAACATTTTGATATTCACCTGTGAAATAAAATAGATTTGATATATACAGCTTCTATAAACACTACTAACATTAAACAAATTAACACTGACTAAGTGTGTATTTCTCTTTATATAACGAAATTGCCAGTTGCCTTGTTTCAAGTACTAAACAACGGATGTTTGAACATTTTTTGTGTGTTTTGCAATATTCAGTTTTTCATTATATATCGTTTATCAATCATATCCTTAAAACAAACAATTTCCAAGGAAAAATGTACCCTTGAAATGTTCCAAGTTAAAAATGTTTACTGTAAAAAGACAAAAATATAAATATGTATATAGACTTTGCAGTTGAATTGAAAACAATGCAATAATGTTAAAATATTAAAATAAAAAACATTTTATTATTGAGGAAGACAAAATTTTGTTACGTAGTCGTTCTCGTAATATAGCCAATATGTTCAACATAATAAAAAGAAATGAAGTTGATATTTACTTTTTTGATTTGTATCAAGATCCTGATATTGATCTTCATTGACCTTTGTGACGTTCTGCATGACGTAATCTTTATTTCTGGTATCAAAAACATAGTTAAAAGGATTAGTATTAAACTTACGACAAAGCTTTATGAGTTTAAGTCGACTTTTCAATCATTAACATCCCTTACTTATGTAGCAATATAGTCTTATCACCTGCATATGGGTTTTATGTCTCCCAGGCCAAATGGTTCAATACGCAATAGCATTCTCTACGCACGAATAATTACTAAATCTGGGCAAGCTATTGCCAAACAAAAAAGTTGATAAAACAAGAATATCAGCAATTTTGTTTAAAGTCATCACTTTGCAAGATTTATGGTGGATGCAAATACAATCTATCAGTCAGTTAAATACTCAGGTTTTTCATTAAGATTGTTAGGTCATTACTTACATATGTAATCGTCTACGGATTTCCCCGTTATTTCCCGATCATGCCAAGGATCACAGGGCGGTCGGCACGGGATGCTCACTCCTCAATGGCACCCGATCCCACTTCTGATGTTTTAGAGGTCCGTTTTGCTCTTATTTTTTTTTTGCATTCGTTGAATGGAATTACGAATTGTATTACTGTTTGTTATCTCCATATTTCATTATTTTCTAATAAAAATAATGAGTATGGACATTTTTGGTTGGGTGAACTTCTACAACTTTCAGCGACTATGGAAAAGGAAGTGCGGAAACAATGTTGTGCAAAAATGAAATAACTATTACAAACAAATGTTACAATTTAATCAACCAAAATGGTTATTGAATACATTCGATACTGCATTTTTTTAATGGTTCAAAACAAAAAATATTACATAAAGTATTATGTTACAATTGCAAAAATACCAAACGCCAAATACTACTTAAGGATTTTATGTTCTGTAAATATGAACCATGGTAATTCTGACCCCTTGAAAATAATATATTTACTCTGGTAAGTAGGTTTTAAACTTGGCTCGAGCTTCAGCCCAAACTCTAGCTCGAAAGAGAAATTTAGAGCCAACCTCCAAATAATTTGTAGTTATAAAACTTGTCATCAAATTCTGACTGCAGAAATTTGAAGTCGAGCTCGTGCTCGAAACACATGTGGTGCAGAAAGCTGGAGTAAGCTTTGTAAAAAGTAAGCATTACTCAGACAAATGAGATACTAGGAACACAATCCTCAAAATTTTCGAGATAGAGCCAATGTAGGGTGTTAGGAATGAATTGTTAAAAATAGCATATAAAATGAATCCAACCTGGCAGTTGAGCCCCTCCTTAATTTATTTTGCACTATAAAATAACTACACAAAATAAAGCTATTTTATGAATGTATCCCCCCCCCCCCCCCAGTGAATACGTCTTATGACCTTTTTTGGCTTAATTAATTAAGGAACAGACTCTTAGCATCGGGGAGGGCCCCCGAACCTTATTATAAATCTATAAGAAAAGAAGAGAGAGAAATAAAACTAATACAACTTAAAATTAAAGTCATGACACTTTCCCCGTCATGTCAGCTCAAGTATGCAATAACGTCATATGCTATTATGATGTCATATCTAGGTAGTTCAGAGAAGTTGCTGCAGTTGGAACAGTTTGATATATTACGGACAGCCTTATCCTAGCCGCGAAACACTAACAATAACAGAGTTCGTGCCCTGTTTACAAACACACGTGTTTGACGTGATTTTATGAAGAATGTCGTTTAATTCTTAGAAATGTAAGTTATATATATATATATATAAAGCACTAAAAATGACCAACTACACGAACAATAATAATTGTCAAATTTTCGGGACGACCTGTCCCTTCCTCAGGACAAAGAAAAAAGTTAAGGAGTCATAAAAACAAAGGAAATAGAGAATATACAGTATTGTTGGTTTTTAGTGCTTTATGCTTTATATATATATATATATATATATATATATATATATATATATATATATATATATATATATATATATATATATATATATATATATATATATATATATGTTCCTTGTTTTTTGACCAGACAGGTTGAATTGAAAACATGTCATTTAATAAAAAAAATAACAAATATTAAACTTGTACAAATAATGGGGGTCAGAAAAGACTAGAAAACATTGACAGTACAAAGAGTATCTTCAATAAGTATTATGAAATCTGACCCCCCAACAAACATAACATAAAATTACATTACATAGGGGCATTAGTGTTTCACAAACAAATCTTGTTAAATTTAGATATCACCCAAGATTTAATGTAAAAGTAAAAATTCAATTATTGAGAATATTATTTCTATGTTTCTTTATTTGTTAAACTTTTACTGCTAGTCCTTGTTTGAATCCTGAACTTTCCAAACCAACACGTTCGACCCAAGACTCAACTCACATCCATCTGGGATAGTAGGGATTTATTTAGAGTTAACAAGTTTTGAGGATTTTCTTTTATTGAAAATATCATTCTTTTTCTGTATAGTGAGTCTTTGATTAAAGATTATCCAGTGTAAAATATATATGAACAGATGTGCAAATCTGAAGCTCGGTCTTCGGAAAAAAGCGTTGCCCGCGTGGCGCAGTAGTTAGAGCGTCTGCTCTAGAGTCGCGAAGTAAGGAGTTGATCCTTACGTCGCGGGTTCGAATCCCACTGTGGGACGTGGAGACCGGTCCTTCGGATGAGACCGTATAAACCGAGGTCCCGTGTCGCAGTAGGTGCTGGCACGAAAAAGATCCCTTACTGCTCAATGGCCATAAGTGCCGAGTATAGGACAAAATTTGCAGCTCTCCACCGGCAATGGTGGCGTCTCCATATAAGTGAAAAATTCTCGAGAGGGACGTTAAACAACATACAATCAATCAATCAATCGGAAAAAAGCAGTGTGGACAAGGAAGAAGCAAGAAGGAAAGAAAATAAAAAAAATCGTAGCTATAAGGGGAAAATAAAATATATGTTAGAATACTGAATAAAGACTCCAAAACATGTAAAAACAGTGCCGTATTTAGTTAGTTATGTAATGTAGCTATACACGTCTAAGGCATTATAAATCTTAAGGATTTATTTAGAGAATTCCGGTAAATGAATTCACATAGTGATGTGTCATGTATGAAATGCATTATTTAATCGTTAGAATGAACACACTGCAAAAAATATGGAATGTAGGATGTAAATAGGAGTGTTAGTATAAAATATTTCGAAAGTTAATTTCCCTGTCACGTTTGTATAGCTATGAAATGAGTTTCAATTTCCTTGTAACTACTTGTCTTCCATTAAAGGTGACGTATGTATCATGTGATCATAAATTACTATATAAAGCACTCCAAGGTACAAGATACACGTGAAACAGTAACCAGCAGATGAAAAGGTAAATAATTTGCTATTGCAAACGTTTAATGATAAATGTATCCTTGAAGTTTAGTTGTTGTCTAAATTTTATTTATTTTCAAGAATTTGTTTCGCTGGCATTATTTTACCTTTCAATTTGCTTTCTAAACACTGTTTAAGAGTTTAATATGAATATGTTATGTAAATGTTTTGTTTTGTTTTTGGATTTTCCCTTCAATAAAATGTCTATAAAGACATTTGATGCATGTTGATTCTATTCAAGCTATAAATTTTTACCTCCCAACAGTTTTCCCTTATTTTCAAGCCAGAAATCCATTATTATTGCCGCTTAATTATTTACATTGTTAGAGCTTAATATTTGAATGAAAGTTTATAACTTTTATAACTTATAACTTTTAAAACATTTTTTTTTTCTGTACAAGACTTTTTATCCGGAAAGAGGGTAATTCAAATTTTTTTTTAATTTCTTGGCATTCGCAGGTTTTAGTCTTAAATATCACAAGATAAATGTACTTTTTATTCAAAAAAAAATTGCTAGCTATAATTATTCAAATGCACAAGAGATAACGTCTTGATTAGAAAACATATACATAAACCGATGTTTTGGATTTTCAGGAATATAATGTCATATAATGTAAAATTTGACTGTATGATATTAGCATTTACAAAATTTGAAAAAGAAATTTCCATTTTATTCCAAAGTTTATTACTTGTTGAGAAAATGACTAAAAAAAATAGCCTCAATTATAACTACTCATTAAATGAATTAGGTATGGTAAATTTCCAAATTTCTGACTTTTTAAACATCTCCCAGCAGTTTTTCCCTGAACATAATTTATATCAATAAACTAAACTACATATATATTTTTTTAATACAGTATGGCTATTGTTGGTACTTTTCTGCCTTTGTTGATTTGTGCAGCATTTTCCTTGGTCAGAATTGCTGGTAGGTTTTCATTAATGTGTAACTGTATGTAACTGTTACTGATAACGATTCTTTGCTACTTCGCCTTAAAAGTTTATAGGTATTCTTTTTTTGACAAGTCCTTGTTTTTACTTTTGTGACAATAATTCTAGATTACTATATATAGATAAATAGATATATATATATATATATATATATATATATATATATATATATATATATATATATATATATATATATATATATATATATATATATATATATATATATATATATATATATATATGTTTGTATGTATGTATGTATGTATAAGTATGGGAAGAGTTTACCTTGAAGCATTTTTTCTCTCAAGCAACAGCAAACTGCCAGTCGAAAGAGATGAAAGGCCTGTGTGCCTTGTCTGGGACGTGGCGAAATCAGCTACAGTCAGTAATGACTATAACCTGCAAAACAGGAACCATACAGGGTCAATATAACAGCGCCGTCGGAAATGCTGAACGAGAGTACGAACTAGCAGGAAGGTATCAGCAGGTGAATGAAACGGAGTATATCGTGGGATGGTCTGTTGCCTATAAAAATCAGTACCGTGATGCTAAATCCATTGCAAGCTGGACAGGAGTGTTCTACGCCGCTGAAGGTACTATCAAGACTCAGTGGATACTTGCGTCATACAAAGATCCGGAAGATTACTGGAGGACCTTTACAACCAATCAAGATACATTCAGTAGGGTCCAAACCCATCCTTGTGTACAGAACAACGTGAAATGAAAATAATGCATGCAACATTAATGATCATTTTATGCCTCTATATATGAAGTATGATATTATTTTATTCTATTAAAACATGATTCGTCATTTTCTTCCTAAATAAAACACAATTAAACAGTTTACAGTGGTTAGTTATGATCTTGGCCGTTGGAAGCGATCTGGCAAAATTTTGATATGTACTTCGAGTAATTATCACAAAAGTTCTTCCGAGGAAAGCGGACCTGTGTGTAACATGATAGCAATGTTTATTTACAGATAATATACTGTTAATATGAATATGACCCAATAAAATATAAAGGTGCAACTACTAATTATAAAAGTTAAAGTTTTGACAAGTGACTAGATAAAGACATGCAACTTTTTAAGATCATAAACATGTTTAATGATTTGTGATTTCTCCAGTATATAGGATCGATTAGGATTTATGATTTATCGACAAACGTAAGATGGAAAGTCATTTCTTTTGTTGAATTTTAAGACATATTTTGGTTTTGAATGTTTTAAAAGACTTTATTTCTGATTAAGAGAATATAAGAGATGAACAAGCTTTCATAATTTTCATAATGTAAACATTATTAATTTTCATATTTTTTTTTACATGCATGGTGTCGCTCCTCATTCGTTTAAATTTTCAGTTGTCAAGGATTTACTTTTATTCATCTTTTTAGCTCACGTGAGCCGGAGGCTCAAGTAAGCTTTCTTGATCAAAATTTATCCGTTATCTGTCTGTCTGCCGTCGTCGTTGTCGTTTGTTTGTTTGTTTGTATGTTGTTTAACGTCCCTCTCGAGAATTTTTCACTTATATGGAGACGCCACCACTTGCCGGTGGAGAGCTGCAAATTTTGTCCTATACTCGGCACTTACGGCCATTGAGCAGTGAGGGATCTTTTTCGTGCCAGCACCTACTGCGACACGGGACCTCGGTTTATACGGTCTCATCTGAAGGACCGGTCTCCACGTCTCAAGTGTGATTCGAACCCGCGACGTAAGGATCAACTCCTTACTTCGCGACTCTAGAGCAGACGCTGTCGTTGTCGTAAACCTTTTACAATTTCATTTTCTTTTTCAAAACCACAAGGCCAATTTCAACCAAACTTGGCACAGAGTATCTTTGAGTATAGGGGAATTCAATTTTGTTCAAATGAAGGGCCACGCCCTCTTCCAATGGGAGAACATTAAGAAAAAGTAAATATTGGGTGGGGTCATTTAAAAATGAAAAAGGATGAAACTTATGTGAAAGCTTCCTGACATAGTGTAGATTCAAGTTTGTTCAAATCATGACCCCGGGGGTAGGTTGGGGCCACAACATGCATTTAAAGTATTACATAGGAAAACAGGGAAAATCTTTAAAAATGTTCTTCTCAAGAAGAGTAAAGTCATAATTGGTCATACTAATATTGAAACATCCTTAGATAAGTGTAAATTCAAATTTGTTCAAATCATGACCCACGGGGCAAGGATTGGGGTAACAATGGGCAATCAAAGTTTTACATAGGAATATACAGGAAATATCTTTAAAAATCTTTTTCTCAAGAACAGCAAATCCATAATTAGTCATATTAAAAAAGAATTAAGCATCCTCGGATAGTGTAGATTCAAGCTTTTTTTCAAATCATAATCACTTGGGGGTATGGTGGGGCCATAACAGGGGATCAAAGTTGTATGTGGGAATATATAGGCAAATCTTTTTAAAAAAATCTCAAGAACAGCAAAGCCATGATTAGTCAAATTAATACAGTAGTATCCTCAGGTAATGTAGATTCAAATTTGTTATTGTTTTTGCAAAGTTTTGTGATTTTAAATTTTCTTAAAGTTTTGGAGTTTTTTGTATCCGCATTTCATTAGGATCACTTCTCAAATACGTTGTTGCACAATAATTCCGAAGTTTCTCCTTCATTAAGCAAAAAAAGAGGACTGGTAAAATATTTGCTACAGCCCGCCATTTATCCTAATTTGGAAGTATGTCTATAAAGTTTTGAAAAACAGCATAATTATGGTAATTCAAATTCAGTCTGGTTGTTAGGAATATTAATTAAAAGACATTTAAATCTGACATTATTGTAAATAATCTTTCCTTAATTAGGGAATTATGAATTAAGTTGGATTACAACTTGTAGAATTAAATCTAAATTCCTCCGAAATACAATTATAATAAAGAGCCTTACAAACAAAAACTTGTTGCAGGTTCTTTCCCTAATGTTTTCCAAATAATAAAAACTCAAAACGTTTTCACATTTACCTAGTTAATTAATTGTACATAGTATTCTGGCTCTCGTCCGTCCTTTTCACAACGGTGAATTTCTACATTACACCATACTCCGTACACTGTGCACCATACACTGTACACCATACACCATACAAAGTAGAATGTGGAACGGGACCTACATAACACAACAACAGTAAACACATTAAGTTACACATTTATACACAAAGCTACATACAAGTTATGACCCATATAACCCACCGTACACAAAAATGGGACAATAATATGGTGAACATCACAGCGCTGCATTACAGAACTTGTATTAAATGCTTTTACCCAATAATTACATTATTTTACATGTAACTTAAACTTACACATAGTAACTTTATTTACATAGTTACTTAACTGTTTAGAATCATGATGAAACTAAATACTGAAATACTAGAGCCGATACTATCAATTAATTAATACTACTCCCTTAAATATTTATAGAACATAAAAACTATACAAACGAACAAACATTCAAACAAAACTAACTAAAATTAAAATACGTTGAAATAACAATTAGTTATCCCAGGACCGTAAAGTTGTCAAAACAGAGAAGAAAATGTAAATTCAACATGTTACTCACCTCAGAAGTCAGTGTTTGTAACTATAATTAGAAATACTTTAACTTCACAAAACTTTGCAAGTAAAAGAGTTAATTGGTCATTCAGAGCCCGTGCAGCTATGTGTCCGAAAGCCGGTTTTTATTAAGAAGGGCGGAAGCCTAAACTCAGGTGAATAAATACAGGTAATGGAGAGGTACCATAAAGGGTATTCGAATAAGAGGTCCAGAATAGGATAACTGAAAGATACTACGGAACAAAGTTAGCACAATAATTACAATGAATTTAAAATACTTTACAAGACAAATAAACTATACAACACCGTAAATGTGACAATTGTCCACACGTTTTGTCAGCTTGAATTGGTACAAATTTCTAATTCTTTAGTCACTTCTGAATTACCGAAGGCAAGGGGCGAGACAGCGCATTTTCTTCTCAATCGTTTACAAGTTATACGAAATTAAACTATACATTTTATACTTGTTATCGTCGCCCGCGTGGCGCAGTGGTTAGAGTGTCTGCTCTAGAGTCGCGAAGTAAGGAGTTGATCCTTACGTCGCGGGTTCGAATCCCACTGTGGGACGTGGAGACCGGTCCTTCGGATGAGACCGTATAAACCGAGGTCCCGTGTCGCAGTAGGTGCTGGCACGAAAAAGATCCCTCACTGCTCAATGGCCGTAAGTGCAGAGTATAGGACAAAATTTGCAGCTCTCCACCGGCAAGTGGTGGCGTCTTCATATGAGTGAAAAATTCTCGAGAGGGACGTTAAACAACATACAATCAATCAATTTACTTGTTATCCATTCTGACAAAATATTAAGTTCTTCTTCCCTCTTTCTGACCCATTAGCAAGCAAGATCTTCGATAGAATTCGTAATGCATATTTGGGTCCCCTAAATTTTGGATCCTTTAAATGAGTGATTCACTGTTCTTATTGTTTGGTATATTTACATCACCAGTTATGTCATACCTTGCAGAACTATAATAAAAATGAGAAGAAGAATATGAACACATAATAAATCATTAGACTAAAACAGTCAAAATTGCTCCATAATGTTGTTTTAATCATTATTTGCAATTTTCCGACTGATATTTTTTTTTTTTTCGAGAGAAATAACGGTTTGTTTGTTTAACGTCCCTTCGAGAATTTTCGCTCATATTGAGACGCCTCCACTTGCCAGTGGAGGGCTGCAAATTTAGACCAGTGCTCGGCACTTACAGCCTTTGAGCAAAGAGGGATCGTTTGCGTGCCAGCACCTACTGCGATCTCATCCGAAGGACCGATTTTCCTGTCACACAGTGGATTCGAACCTGCGACGCAAGGATCAACACTTTACTCCGGACTCTCAAACGCTCTAACCACTACGCCACGAGATAACTGTTGACAGCTTTTTATTGAGTTGGTTGACGAGTTTATGTTCTTTCTACAATCACTCTGCTTTTCAGTTGTAATCACACCTCATCGCCCTTTGTTAGTTTCGGCACAAGTGAACCAGAAGCCTAACTATGTGGTTTGCCATTAGAATACGTGTAAGTAAGGACTTCTAGGTGTCCGTCTATTGCCGTTCAGGAGTTTTCTCCCTTATGCAACTTGTGGGTCTCCCAATTCTGTATATTGGACAAAAGAACTCTGAGTCAGGATTAAAATATATAAAAATTTAATATTGCTTGTATTTAATTTGTACAATCTCTTTGAATGATTATCCCTGTATCTTGCTCCCGTAGAAATATTACTTCTCTTCCAATTAGAAATGGGAATAAAATATTCTCAAATGGGAGAATTATGTTTTAGGGAATCATAAATAGATTTACAAAAGTGTAAAAGTATTTCCAAAAATACTGGGAGTCCCTTGCAATATCGTATCAATATCAAACACAGTTACGGGAGAGTTACTTCACCTCCCACTAATTTTCTCCCACAGGACAATTTACAATAATTAAAAAAAAGTAAAACTTACTTATTATTAATGAATTCATCAGATCTCACAAATCAAGTAATTTTCAACATTAATTACCCATCGACTTTCACTCCCAGCATTCTGGCGATATGAGTTGTAAAAGTCAACTGATCAGCCGATCGATTTGCACTGGCTTATATTGGCATCGGGCTCGATTGTTGTGACGTCACGACAAAGTGAACTGCAGAAGGATAAAACGTACGCTCAAATAGGACCTTAGGTCACCAGCTCAGTTCACAACTATCAAACCTGTTTACTCCGCGACAAAATGTAGTGCATTGCAACCGTAAAGTGAAAATAGGATAAATCGCACTACTGTGAAGCCTTTATAGTGTAAAACAACAAACAGAA